TTAATAATATTACTAGTATTTTTTTCCAAAAAAAATTTCTATTAAACTACATCATCAAGCAACTATTTGTTTATTTTTTCATTTCTTTTTTCTCATTTTTCTTTTATGTATTCCGTTTAGTCTTATACTGAAACCAAAGATTAATTAACACAAATACGTATCAATCCAAATTACAAATTAAAAGAAAATTTTATCAAGTTACTAGACTACTTTCGATTGCTTATATCACCCAAACTAACACAGTTCAAACTCTTTCCATCTCTCAGTTTTTTGTTTAAGCAATAAGTTCATCACTGTCATCGTACTGTTATACGGCGCTTCACGAAATGTCTTTTAAGAAAAACTATTTAGAAATTACAACTGGATTTTATTATAGAATGACACAAGTTAGGAATTGAAATTGAGAGGCGAGTATTTCGGATGAGAGTGTATGACTGACTGGCGGTACTGCTAGTGTTGAAATAAGAAAGTACCGACGCTACTAAGATAGTGCTGACTGTGTGCTTTGTGTCAGCGGATCCCTATTAAAACGGAATCTATAACAGTACGTACCTTCTCTTGACTGCCTCGTTGGTCTAGAAACGGTAAATGCGGTTGCTGATTATGAGGTCCTGGGTTTGAATCTCGAATTATTTTTTTTTATAGGATCGGGTAACAAACGAGCACACAGTCCACCTGATGGTAAGTGGTTACTGTGACCCATAGACATCTACATCTATCCTCAATAAAGACCCAAGATGCAGATGCGTTGTCACCCGTGAGGACTAAGATGGAATGCCTCTTTGCCAGTAAAAAGGGTCTCCGGTTCTCTACACTCACCATACGAAACACAGCGGCGTTAAGCTGCTATTTTACGCTGGTTTTCTGTGAGAGCGTGGTCCTTCCCTGGTCGAGCCAACCCATTCGTGCTACAACCATAATATAGCTGCAGCATGGCTCTACCACGTAGAAGAATCAAATATTGGGATGTTCTATAAAAAATTTCGCAGTCGCAGTCCGGAGCCAAGAAGTTGGCCTTTTATTGTCTATGCACCTTATTATTTACTGCATACAGTTCAAACGATTTCACACGAAAAATACTCGTACACTCTAAAGTATAGATATATAAAACTCAAATGAAAATTTAAGTCATACCGGATTTTCTTTATGCTAGTTAGCTAGTCAAAGGGTGCGTACATATACGCTATAATTCAATGCTATGAAAATATTTACTGCATGCCTATTTTATTAAAGAATTAAGGGTAACATTGATAAACACAGTCTTTTTAAAGATAAATGAATGCTGTAGCCCATAGGAACCTACATCTATCTATTAAAAATCAAAATATAGTTGTGATGTAAAAGTAAAAAGGGTCTCCGGTTCTTTAAATTCTATATACGTACAGCATTAAGGTGTTATTTTATCAGATGGAGTGTGCGCTTATTTATTACACTTATGCTATAAAAATATTTTATTTTATTTCAATACAGTCTATTCATAATTCTTAATTACAATCATTTTAATTCTACGAATGGTTTGGAAAATATCTATATTTAGGAACTAACAACAAACCCACTAGATTTTTTTTGTTGCACAATTTATAAAGTATACGAATGAAATTAGAAATTGATAAGTATAGATTGCCTCATTTTCAGGAGTTATTAATAGAGGTTATATACAAGAGAGGGCATCTATCGTCCATGTATGTATGCCGCTATCTTCTCCCTATGACAAATATTAGAAAAAAATTTGGTTCTCGCTCTATCTCGTATATGCTGGATTTAAATACTAGCGAGAAACTGAGTATTTATCTGAAAACTGAGTCAGAGGTCGGCCCAATACTTGATCCTCTTTTTTTATCAGGAGAGGGAACAGCAAACCAGCATGCGGCTCAACTGATGGTAAGTGACTACCGCCGCCCATGAACAACTGCAACACCAGGGGAACCAGGGGAATTGCAGATGCGATGCCGGCTTTTTAAAAAGGAATAAGCTCTTTTCTTGAAGATCTCTATGTCGTATCGGTCCGGAAAAATCGCTGATGGTAATCGATTCCACAAGGAAGTTGTGCGAGGAAGAAAATATCTTCAACAAATCGCACAGTGGTGGACCGCCAATCATCCAGATGGTGTGGATTTTATCGGGAGTTCTGCTGCGATGTGCGTTTGTGAAATTTGATGGCTAGGATTAATCCGAACAACTCCTCAGAGCACTCCCCGTGGTAAATGCGAAAAAAAATGCAAAAGGATGCAACATCTCTTCGCAGCGCCAATGTTTCGAACCGATCGGAAAAGACTCGGTCGTCAACGATCAGAGCCGCTCTGCGCTGGATGCACTCAAGTGGAAGGAGCTGGCACTGGGGAACCCCAGCCCAACGATGGGTGTTCCTATCGTTCGGCCTCACATAGAATAATGTTGTATTCCATGTGAGACCAAACCTGCGCCTTGTAAAGTTGCAGGCGCTGTGCCGGCATGAAATACTGTCCCGCCCTGCTGAGCACGCCAAGCATGGCAAGCTCAGCAGGGCGGGAAAGCTTTTTAAAAGCTTTTTAGAGGCCAATTTGGCCTTCTCTTCCAAGTGACCATGACACTGCACGTCACTCGATATGTCGACGCCAAGGATTCCGATACTGGCTGAGGCAACAAAGTGAGTGCCTTCAAACTAAGAAGATACGACAAAGGGGTTCCTTTTAGCGGTTAACGCTCAAACTCGTGTCTTCTGAGGATTAAACTGGACTAGATTTAGTCACCCCTAATCCGAGACTTTGTTCAGCAAAGACTCGACTTCAGACACAAATTGATTCTGGTACTCGGCGACGCTTTCCCGAGAAATGTTGGCAAGGCCGCTGTATAGAGCATTACCTGTGCTGTCATCCGCATAGCAATGAATGTTACCAGCTTGCAACAGATAATTGATATGCAGAAGAAACAGCGTTGGTGATAGCACACAGCCTTGTGGAACACCAGCGTTAACAGGCTTGTAGTCGTAGAATGCACTGTCTACAACGACCTTGATGCTCTGATCTGCAAGGAAGCTGGTGATTCAATTGCACAATTTTTCGGGAAGCCCATAGGAAGGGAGCTTTGAAAGAAGCGCTTTGTGCCAAACCTGATCGAAGGCCTTCGCAATGTCCAAACTAACGGCCAACGCCTCCCCCTTGGACTCTACTGCCTGCGCCCATCTATGAGACAGGTAGACCAGAAGATCACCAGCTGATCGACCTCGACGAAAACCGTATTGGCGATCACTAATCAGCTGGTGATCCTCGAGGTACCGCATGAGCTTGCAAATTAAAATCGATTTCATTATTTTGGAGAATAAGGAGGTGATGGCGATAGGCCTGTTGTTGGACGGGTCTGAGCGGTTGCTTTTTTTAGGGATCGGGTGGACAAAAGCCGTTTTCCATGATTTCGGGACTAAGCCTAGAGAGTAGGAGTAGCGGAAAAGACGCGTTAGAACCGGTGCTAACTTCGGAGCACACGTCCTCAGCACAATTGGGGGGATTCGGAATTTAGGCTACATAAATGATTATATGGTACAAGAAAAATCTAAGTTTTTTTTTTTGTTGATGATTCTTAATTATTATTTAAAGTTAGCACTGATACCGTCTAATCAAATACTGGAGATTGTTTGGAAATAGTTTTGCAGCAACCAATTAGATTTTAAATAGAAAATCAATAAATAAAACCAAATGATTACAGTTAAGAGCAGCTCATTTGCCACAGAACGCTGTAAGTAATAATATAATAATAATGATAATAATTTATTCAGATAGAAAAGTGATACAGAGTAAAAGTCAAACAATGCATTTTATCTTATATACTAAATATTCGTATGTTCTTAAAAATGAACTTGCTTCCTAAGTTAGGGTAAACCCTGTGTTTTAGGTTAAGCAAAGCTCTTCCCACTTACATAAATCCTTAAATAAGATACAAAAAATATAATGAAACAATACAAAAGTGACCCAAAAAAAATAGAAAAATAGATCCTTAGAATTTAAAAGACATGCACAGATCAAAATAAAAAAAAATTAGCAGAGAAGTAACGAATTGACATCTATGAACACTTATGCAAGTATGTTAACAAAATCTCCGTTTCTTCATAAAACTTTAGTTGAAGCCATTTTCTGAGGGCAATGTTGCATTCATTCCTATTCATAGAATATATATGAACAATTTTGTTTACTTTATTATAAAAATATGGACCAAGAAAGCAAAAATATTTTTTATGAATTTTGTGTTGGGCTTAAAACTGGACTGAATCAAAATGTCTTTACGACGTTTACATTTCATTTTGTCTGGGTCAAAATTTATAGACTGATGCTGTTTTCTAATAACATATAGAACAAATATTTGGCGAACAGTTAGTACTTTGCAGTTATTGTAGAGTAATATTGTAGGATATTGAAATGGTTTAAGTAATTAATTTACAAGAAAGAATGCAGAAAGTTTGACCGTATTTCTCAAATTTCTATTGATTTCAAGCTCCAGTGGGGAGAACATATTTCTAAACTAGCTTCCAAATTAAGTTCTGCAATCTTCGTTATTAGAAGGATGACTGCCTCGTTATTCTAGTGGTTGTAGTAGTGCGACTGCTGATCATGAGGTCCCGGGTTCGAATCCCGTGTCGGGCCAAAAAAATCTGTTATTGAGTTTTTCCATCAAGAAATTCTCAGTAGCTGCCCGGAATCAGGAAGTTGGCGGTGTCTTACCCCCGTGCCTCGGAAAGCACGTAAATCCGTTGGTCCTGCGCCTGATCTCTCTCCGGTCGTGTCGGTTTACCGTCCCATTAGACTTTGAGAGTGAGGGAATAGAGAGTGCACCTGTGCTTGCGCATACACTTGGGCACTATAATTCTGTCCTGCGCCGATGGCTTGTCTCCATTGAGACGGGCCGCCGTGACCGAAATTAGGTCTGGAGGACATTATTATTATTTTTATATCTTTATTTTTTCTAGCCTTGCGGCCGTTATTAATGCTAATTACGGGTGTTCACCAAGTAAAAAGCATATGGGCGTTTTATTAAGTAGTGTGTTCTGGGATATTGGGCGCAACTTCGTTTTCATCTATTTGTAAAAATTTTCTCACAATGCGGCACGTATTTAATATGGCGGCTTTCTGTAATTGTATGTATTTATTCTCTTTTATATTTAATAGTTTCAGGCTGTGGTGAAGATGTTTTGGGATAACTCCTGTGGTTGATAACACAATCGGTACTATGTATGCTTTTTCTTGTTTCCAAATTCTGCTAATTTCGTCTTGGAGATCTGTATATTTGTGGATTTTTTCTGTAATTGTCTTTGTAATATTATGTGTGTTAGGTATAGCTATATCAATGAGGTATGTGATTTTATTATGTTTATCTTGTAGTGTAATGTCTGGTCTATTATAATGTATTGTTTTGTCAGTTAGAATGGCGCGGTCGTAGTATAACTTATGTGTTGTATTTTCTAGAACGGTGCTTGGGATATATTTATAATAAGGTGTAATAGTGTCTTGTATGAGGTTATGTTGAATAGCAAGAGTTTGATGTATGATATTAGCTACCTGGTTATGTCTATGAGTGTAATCGGTTTGGGCGAGATGGGGGCATGCTCCAGTTATATGCTGAATGGTTTCAGAATGTATGTGGCACTTTCGACACTTATCATCTAATACAGTGGGGTCTTTAATGATATATTTCCTGTAATTTCGAGTATTTATAACTTGGTCTTGAATTGCGATAATAAAACCTTCAGTTTCGGGGAATAAAGAACCTATTTTTAACCATTGATTTGACGCAGCTTTATCAATTAAGGGTTGTTCCAGGTCATGATAGTGTCGGCCGTGCAGTACTTTTTGTTTCCATGCTTCTTTTAAAATTTGCTCTGGGTTTGTAACTAAATTATGGGGTCTTTGTAAAGTAGTTTGATGTAAGTTTAGTGGTGTATAATTGAGGTCATTACATTGGACTGCTTTGTGTATTTCACTCGTATGAGATTTTTGATAAAAGAAATTTTGCAATCCGTGTACTTGTTTTTGCCATAGGTTTTGTATATTTATGAGTCCTCTGCCTCCGTTGTATCTCTTTATTGTTAACCTTTCTATAGCCGATTTTGGGTGGTGGTAGTTGTGTTTTGTTAATATTGATCGTGTGGTTCTCTCTATAGAATAAATATTGGTTTTGCTCCACTTTACTATACCGAATGAGTAGGTAAGTACTGGTATGGCGTAAGTATTCACAGCTTTTATTAGGTGTTTTCCAGACAGTTTAGTTTTGCAGATGTTAGTTAATCGTCTTTTATATTCATTAATGAGGTTTTCTTTTATTGTTCTGTGATCTAAGCTTTTGAGCTGGTGAAATCCCAGATACTTATAAACGTCATTCGGTTCCATGGCTGTTATTATCTGATTTTCATTGTCATCTATTGCGTAATCTCCTGTATGTATCTTACCCTTTATTATATGGAGGGTCCTACATTTGTCTAATCCAAATTTCATATTGATATCTCGGCTAAATTCAGCAGTAACATTTATTAGTTTGTCCATTTCTTTGTAGGTTTTTGTATATAGTTTAATGTCGTCCATGTATATTAAGTGAGTTATTGATGTATCGGTGTTACCATGTTTAAGGTGATATCCTGTGCCCTGAATGTTTAGGATATGAGACAGAGGGTTAAGAGCAAGACAAAACCATAAAGGGCTCAAAGAGTCACCTTGATAGATGCCTTTTTTTATCGATATTTCTCTGGTAATTATAGTGTTAGGATGACTATTAAGATAAAGGGTAGTTTTCCAACGTGGCATTATGAATTTAAGGAATTCAATTAGACTGTTATTAATTTTATAAATTTTAAGTACTTCAATTAACCAGGAGTGAGGTATGCTATCGAACGCCTTTTGATAATCTATAAAAGTACAATGTAGATTTCGTTTCTTGGTAGCTGCATGTTTGTGAATAACTGAATCAATTATCAGTTGCTCTTTGCACCCCATGTGGCCGCGCCGACATCCTTTCTGTTCTTCAGCAATTATGTTATGTGTCTCTGCGTGTGTTCTGATTTTGTAAGTGATTGCTGATGTAAGTATTTTGTAAATTGTAGGTAAGCATGTAATAGGTCTATATTGAGATGGTTGTAATGAATTTTGGCCTTTAGGAAGCATATGTGTTATTCCTTTAGTTATAAACTGGGGTAAATCTTGTTTTCGATATATAATTTCTGTTAAGTTTTTAGCTATACATTTATGTAAGATTTCTAATTTTTTGTACCAAAAGTTATGAATTTTATCTATACCAGGCGATTTCCAATTATGTAATTTATATGTTATGTTTCTTATATCTTCAGGTGTAATTTCCTCAAATTTCATTTCCTCTATTGCTTCCCATCGAGCTTTTTCTTCTAATATCCATTTCGCTTCTGTATTGTGAGTGACTTGAGTCTCCCAAATATTTGACCAAAAGGATTCTAACTCCTCTTTGTTCGGTGTATCATGGTGTTGTCTATCTATGTTGTCTGCTGTTGTGTTTCTTAAGCCTGCATTTAAATTTCTGTAAAACATTTTTTCGTTATTTATGAATAAATTATTGTCCTGCTTTCTCTGTAGTGATTTTTTATATCTTTTAAGTCTATTACATTTAAGGGCTAATTTTTGCTTTAGGGTATCAAGGAATTCTTCCGGTCTGCTATTGTTGCTTTCATGTCTTGTGTGTAAACTTGTGTTTTTAAATATCGCTGTAACTCTATCCACTATCTTCTTAGATCTTCTGTTCATAAAAATGTATTGTGTTAGTTTACCTATATCTGAGCGTAACTTATTTATATCTCTTTGTAATCGAATCTGCCAGATTGGTGTAGTATCCTGTTTACGTTTTGTGAGCCTATCATTATTATCATTATTAGTAATTTTGTATCCTAATTCTTGAGATATTACAAATGCAGTACAGTAAATAATTGTGTGAATATCAGTAATTTTTGAGGTCTCATGTATGTATTGACTCAAAATGTTGTTATTAAATATGTGTATTAGTTTTAAGAGTTGTCTGCTATATTTAAGCTTTGGGAGTTTAGGTCGCACTGTTGGGTCTATTCCAGCATATTGTAAGATAGCGGTTTGTAGTTTTTCCCTAAGTTGTGATTTCATTAAATCGTTATCTATCTCATCTACGACTGGTGTTTCTATTTCGTTTTCAATTATCATGGTGCTTGTTACTAGGGTATCTGTTTGAGTGGATATGTCTGACATAAGATTACAATTTCGGTACATTGGTGTGCCTCTAATTAATGGATTTTGTGTCTGTAATTGCATGTCTGGTACCTCTATCATTAAGTTTGTCGATTGCGAATGCGTGTTATTTTTATATTGAGTGCTAGGATGGTGAGAGGAATTGTATGATTGTAGTTGTTTACATTTTGCCAACGTTGATATTGCGGTATATGAGTCTTTGTGTGTCTTTTCTTCTTCAATTAATATATTCCTTACTTCTTCTTGTAATCGACTCAGGATTTCGTTACTTAATAGCTTATTACGTACTATTACTCTTCTTTGATCAGATAATCTTTGTTCTGAGACATTTATTCCTGGGTACTGTTCCGTAAATTTTTGGTGAAGAAGGGTTCTATATGTGGTTAAATCTGTTTCTAACTTCGTGATATAGTAATATGTGCGCATAATAAATGTATTGACTTCAGATGTCCATTTCATGCGCATCCTGGGCTTTCCTGCCTTTGTGGACGCAGGTAGAAAGGCCTGAGCAGCCTCCTGCGCAACATCAGAGGTAGGGATTACGGATTCTCTATTATCTTCAGTTACTAGTGTAAGTGAGGGTGTATTTGAATCAGTACTTGGGTTGCACGGTTGTAATGTAGGAGAAGATATGTTTTTGGGTAAGTTTAAGTGTATTTGTTTGGCTGTAGCATTTTCGGGTGACCCGGTGGGAGCCCGCCTACTCAACTCCTCACCGCCGACGGCTCGTCCACTGCAACACCCAGCGTCAGCTCCAGGTGTGCCCCGGCGATAACCCCCGGGTAGCGGCATTAAACGTTTACTTTTTAATCGTGTCTCCATGGTTTGAATGGGTTACCTTTGCCACGTTGGCCACTCCAGTAATAGAAATGTAGTGTTGCCCGCCCCCCACGTGTTCGGATGTTCAGAACAGGACGTGTGGTTGGATTTTAGGGGGTAATTATTATTATTATTATTATTATTATTATTATTAGAAGGAATAGAAAATAGTAAATGTACTCTATACGAGTTTGTTCAATCATTATAGCCCATCAAAAGACCACTTCAATACATAGGCCGCCACTACAGATTGCAGTTGTGTTAGCAACTAAAGTTTTCTATTATTTTCGGTTGTAATCAGGAGGAGGCTGCTGCCCATCTCCTGTTTCAGATTCCTTCTGCAGTCTCTCACAATATCTGCAGGATGATATTAGCATTCCTCACAGCCTCTAATTATACTGGCTCTCTACATACTTCAGACTTGAACAGAGCAGAGCAAGCACTAACATGGGAGTTCTTTCCGATCGCCTTGACTCATTGGCACTTCGTAGAGATGTTGCATCTCTTTGCATATTTTATCGCATCTACCACGAGGAGTGCTCTGAGGAATTGTTCGGACTATTTCCAGCCACTAAATTTCACCATAGCATATCGCGACAAAACTCGGGATACTATCCACACCATCTGGATGATGTCCACCACTGTGCGATTTAGAAAAAGTTTCATTCCTCGCAGAACTTTCTTGTGGAATCGATTACCACCAGTGATTTTTTCGGATCGATAAGACTTAGGAACCTTTGAGAAAAGAGCCTACTCCTTTTTAAAAGGCCGGCAACGCATCTGCAATTCCTTAGGTATTACAGTTGTTCATGGGCGGCGGTAGTCACTTACCATCAGGTGAGCCGCATGCTCGTTTGCCCCCTCTCTTATATTAAAAAACTAATTTTCATTATCGCATTCTCACATTTAAGCCCATATCTTTATTTCTCAAAAGCATATCATTATATTATAATTTCACTTGATAAACGCATAGAAACGTCTTATTATTACATAAAAATATATTTAGATATTTAACAAAATACACCAATTTTACAAGGCATTTTTAAATTTCTAAATCTTAAGTATCTATTACACATATTTAAAACAAAAACCTTTATAAACAAACATGAATATCTTAACTTTACTTCACAAATTAAAACATTCAAGCAGCATTAATACACTTTAATTCAACTTGAATTTTCTTATATAAATTTATTACTGTTTCGCTATTCTAAGCACAAAATTATACACTTTTAACACATCACTTATCTTAGTAATTCTAAAATATTTATTGTCTATTTTTACACTCATTTTGTTAATAAATCTGTAAATGTTCATAAATTGAATAAACATGTTAAACAATATTATTTTTATATTTTAGTGTATTATTTAAACACTTTTCAAGTCCCATACAAAATGAGCAACCAATCTCGATGAAGAATCAAAATACAGACGCATTGTCGACCCTGACACCAAGATATTTACCGTTATCCTTACAACCTTTTTAAAGTTTACTGCATAACATATTATGCCTCCCGTATTTGTCTCATATAAGATAGGGATATTTGCCATAATTGCCACGCTGGGCAGACCGCTTTGCAGCTTTTTTAATTTTTTGTTATTATTAAGAAAGCGCTGTTGCCCATCTCCTGCAGGGCTAACATGGGCAGGAGACAATTTTATCCCCGGGGAAAGGAGAAAATGTTTATCCCCTCGCTTAATCTTATCCACCCTTAGAGCATGGGCACACAGGTAGATATAATATCCACAGTAGATAAAATGGGAGATAGACTTAGACTTAGATTTTTTGTATGAATATAAATTTAAACCCACGTCCAATGAACTAGGATGGAATTGTCCCTTTTAAATGTCAAAAAATTATAATTTTTATCTTTCATTTGGCTCCATGCTACGGACGGGGGTTATATGTCAACTCGTTATGTCAAACGTTGATATACTTTCCCCGTTGCCGTGCTTTGGCATAAGGACTAAGATAATTTTATCTCTTGTCAGTGGATATAATCGGGGGATAAATTTTTTGTCCCCAGCCCATGCCAGCCGTGCTGTTTTGTTTCCTCCTTTCGCCTCTTACGACAATCCCGGGATGATATGGAGCATCGGACATTCTTACGTAGTATTTAGTGGTCAGTAATTATTGTTTACGCTTGTTTATTTTATTGCAACTATTTTTATTTCTCTTTTTTAAATTATTTTTTGCGCCTACCTATTTCACCACAACCGGGTTGAGAGTATGCTAAAAAGCATTAAGTTCAGCATTTGTAACTGAAGGGATTTTGACTTGTACAATAAAGAGATAGATTACAAATGAAAGTATGAAGTAGGTTCATGGTAGATAAAAGTTCCAGAACGAAAGAGATAAATACAAACATTTTAATCCTGAACCTACGACCTATGGATCACTTGATGTAGCTACTTTTTTTTTCTTTCGAAAAGGTCTAACCATTCTCTTTGCCCTTTTACAATTTACACATTTTTATAAAATTTAAAATAAAATTTTTGACAAATTATTTGCTAACATTAGTAAATAGATGTTATTTTGAGATGGGGCGCAGTAATTTAAGTCCCGGCAGCGTACCGAACCATCGCCGCAGATTAATATGAACCGAAGCCTTAATTCAATCCTTGGACTGAACATATTACTCGACGGGAGATTTCCTATTTTTTCCTTCTTTGATAACATGTAATTAACTCAACCAGAACGCAGTAAAGCAGTGCGGCTTACTAATCGCTCCATATCTTCTCAGAAGCAGTAGACTGTAACTTTATTTTAAGTTAGATAATCACATTAAATACCTTTCCATTACATTTAGATCCAGCAAACTCGAAGTGTGCAACTTTACTCGGTAATTTCGTTTTGCGCTTCCAAATACGATTACCTAGCGAATTAATAATAAAATCTACGATATGGTAGTTGCATCAGGGAGAAAACTTTGTTAAGCTTAATTAACCGTTTCGAAAATCCACGAATGTCTCTAAAGCAACGTAAATACCCTTATGAGTTTTGAGAAACTAATTTTAATTAAATCATTTATTGAGCATACTATTTTTTTTTAATAGAACTTTAAATAGTGAATGTCTGAAATGGGAAACTGGATTAGTTAACCGATCGCTTAGTGATGAACACGCATACTATTACTGAATATAGTAAAGCTTAGAACAGAATAGGCTCTGTTGGTGGGATTGATAGTACACGAGATCATGCATGCACGCACATTTGCAAGCACTCACGATCGTTATTAATTTGATAGAAAATTTACTTTCTTATACAGCCCACATTGAATTTATCGACTCGCCTACACAGATTGTAAGTTTGTTAAGTCTTTTTTTTTAAAGGATAGGCTGACAAACGAGCACAATCCACCTGATGGTAAGTGGTTGCTGTGGCCCATAGACATCGACATCTTTCCTCGTTTGCGAATTAAAATGCCGATTCGTTGTCACCCGTGAGGACTAAGATGGAATGCCTCTTTTCCAATGAAAAGCGTCTCAGGTTCTCTAGACTCACCATACGAAACACAGCAGTGTTAAACTGCTATTTTACGCTGATATTCTGTGAGAGCGTGGTCGTTCCCGGGTCTAACCAACCCATTCGTGCTACAACTATACTACTAATATAGCTGCAACATGGCTCTACTACGTATACCATGTCTTTCAAAAAATGTAACCAACTTTGAATTATAAAGGCTGACAATAATTAATTGCGCCATTCTGTACCTTTCATCACTGAAAAACCAGACGTTCTCCACCTCATATTTGTGCAACGCATTCGAAGAAAAGTTAGTTAGTTTTCCGTGTCTCTTAGTGTTCATGTGTTCATGTGTTTGTACATTCTTTCACAAATATACTGCTGAACATAGGCCTCCCCACGAAACACGACGCTGAGCTATCTGCATTCCTCGACTTTCAGCATGTCTTACCAGAACACCAATATTATTTAGTGGATGCCGTCCTTGCTATTCAAGGATAATTTCCCAACAACTGTCTTTCGATTCGGCTTTTGTTTCTAAGTTTGACTTTAATATTAGTTAAGCACTGGTTTATTACAAGTAGATTGATTGCCGCGTTAGGCGCGTTGAAAGCGCGACTGATATTCATGGGGTCCCGGGTCGGAATACCGGGTCGGGTCAAAAACGGTTATTAGGTTTTTCTTTCAAAAAATTCTCAATAGAAGCTTGGAGTCAGATAGTAGTGATGTATCACCTCATCATATCGGATTTCTGTCACATCGAACTATAAGAAAGAAGGAATAGAGAGTGCACTGCTTGCGTATAAAATGAAAGTTGGAACTATAAATTATTAATTATATCGGATTGACTTTTGTAATTATTTTATTTATTATAATATATTAGGTCTTTTCTTATCAAACTGCTGTTTAAACTTATTTTTTCATATTTTTTTTTAATTTTTATTAATCAAAGTAATCATCCGAGCCATTAATGCATATCTGCCAACTTTTGCAGTGGCAGTTTATTGATGCCCTTCTTGAAGAAATCAGCTCGACGGAAGGCAACAGATTCTTCAAAGGCATTTTATACTGCCTCTCGGGTATTGATTTTTAATCCCGCTAAAAAGTTATCCAAATTCTGGAAAAAGTAAGGTCTGGTGAGTACGGCGGATGACGGAGAGCTTCTAATCCCAGCCATTGTAACTTGGAGACCGTCTGTTGTGCAGTATGCGCGTTGTCGTGTAGGAGCAGCGGGGACGAGTGATTGACCAAAGCTGGTTGGAGACGTACGAGCCTCTCCATCATTGTGTTCAATTCTGCACAGTACACATCTGTAGTAATGCTCATCCCGTTTGGTAAGAAGCTGATGAATCACACCGGCGCTAGACCACCAAACATTGACCATCACTTTTCTAGTAAGTTTTCGTTAATGTCATTGTTTAGGTGCTAAATCAGGATGCAACCAACTTGCTGAGAAACAAAATCTATTTTTTGTCGCAGGTAACCATGCTGTTCAAAATTCCTTCGTTTGGGTACCTGTTGAGTAGTGCAAGGCACG